TATAATAGCGTTAAATGTTAGTGATATTATTTAATGAATTTTAAGAATATTTAGAATGCAATCAACAAATTTATTTAATCAATTTTAATTTTTAAATTTGTATGCTTTTTTCATGATTTCCAGTTATTGTCATGGCCTGCCAATAACTGAATTAACATTAAAAATACATAATTACATTATTGGCATTAAGATTTATCAGAATTGTCTATATAACCAAATTRATATTTTAATTAGACTATAGGTAGATACCTAATTTATTACTATTTTAATCAAATAATGCWGTTATTMATTTACAATGTAAACTGCTTTACAGAGATGCCAAAAAAATCAAATTCATTTTCTGATTTAAATCTGATAGAAGCCATAAAGGCAGTAGACAATGGAATTTCTAAAAAAGCTGCTGCCAAACAATTTGGAGTTGCTAGGTCAACTCTACAATTTAGAATAAAACATAGGGATAAAGAAACATTTTCATGTGGACCTTCAAGTGTTTTGAGTGTTGAAGAAGAGAAATCACTTGTTAAATGGCTTCTAGATTGTTCTAAAAAAGGATTTCCTAGGCGACGTGARGATCTACAACAGAGTGTTAAATTGTTTTTGGATGACCAGGGAAGATCTAGTCCGTTTACTAATAATTTGCCTGGTAACTAATTATAAAGTATATTTTAATTAGTARGTAATTATTATACCTATATTATAAGTAAAGTGTGGGATATTTCATGTCAAATAATTTGAACAAATATAAATATTATGTAGGTACACTAAAAAAGTAAATTTGTTTCTATAAAAATAATTTTGTTTAATAAACAAATATAAAAATGGAAGGATTTATTAWTTTAAGTAATTCAAATTTTATACTTACATGTATAAGCCTTTAATAGGTACTACCTAAGATTACTTATCTTCTTTATATTTTTATGTATCAATGAATATTATTTTTATAATTTTGAAAAATAAAGTATTYAGTATACCTATTGAATACCTAGGTACTGTATGTCATGTATTTGACACCACTAGCTTAAATTAATTTTTATAATTTATTTATTTTAGGAATTACTGGGTATAAAGCATTTTTAAAAAKAAATCCTATAATTTCACAAAGAACCAGTGAGCATGTGACTTCTGCTAGTGGAAATGTGAGCGAAGAAAATATAAAAAAATGGTTTAATGACATTCATGCATATTTATCTGATGAAAAATTGGTAGATATTTTAAATGACCCAGAAAGAATTTTCAATGGTGACGAAACTGGTTTTTCACTCTGCCCTAAAACCAAATCTGTCTTAGGCCCAAGAGGGGCTAAAGATATTTATGAAATCGCTAAAGGGAATGAAAAAGAAAATATTACTGCCATGTTTACATTTAATGCAGCTG